TAATCTCCAGTCGCCGAAAATATGTTTCCTCCTGAAACCCGTCGATCCCGCGGACACGAGTTTAATCCGTAACGTAAAGTCATCGTGACACTATCGAAACTGCGATCAAACGTGCGTCGATTTTACAGAACACACAGAAGAAAATTATATCTCGTTAGGTCGATTTTTTCCTCGCTAATACCAGACCTGTTGATACCACTTTAATTACAGCGTGGCCATTTTTTTGTCTCACTTTCGCTAAGCGAGTCTTACGCGGCAGAATTTATCCTTATAATATTCGTGTCTCGAGCTAGCTCCGGTTTTTATTGAAATTAATTAAGATTTCTTTTTGCCCTCTCATTAACCTTTCGTGGCGCCTTAAATGGTGCTTGTAACTCGTATAACTACTGCACGGTCATATCGAAAATTTAATTCGCTCTTGTCACCTTTTTCTCTATTTTTGCATTAGCTTCACATAGTGCTTAATGTACATTTTATTGGGTAATATTATAATATGTGCGATTGTATTAGAATGATGCATAAGTAATGGGAATTTTGAAAATGGTATTTTTGTATTACTGTCACCACAATATTCCGAAAGCAGATCCTGTTATATGACTGATATGTTACACAGTAGGTACATAATAGAAATACATAGTTGATTAACTAACTGTTTTGATGTTTAAATTAAACAATATATTTTCATATGGAGAAATTCCCAATATTTATGCATCAACTCAATAAAAGTATTCTCACACCATGTCTTTGGAAAAATTGATATTAATTTCTGAATTAATCTTTTTTTCTTCCTTTTCTCATCACAACCAGAAAGGATCCTTTTATTTCACCGCAACGGCACGTCGCGTGGTTTATATGCGGAAAGGGTAGACGTCGGCGGGTGTCTATCTATGCAAATATGTTACAAATAGTACCGAGAACAGGGCATTTGAAATGCCAGCCGGTATCTGGGCTCGGGGATCGGTTTTGACTGAATACCTCATTAGAGGCGGGGACAATCGCTTCCCGGTAAAACATCGTTAGGCGTCGTAAACGTCCGACGTTCGCTCGTCGCGTCCAGAACGCTTTACTCTCCCTCGCAGCCACACGGATTCCGTCACGGTGGTTTTTCGCCTGTAACGGCCGTCGGCAGGGGCCGTTTAAGGTGAAATAAACGCGTACAGGTAGGCTGTGATCGCGTAAAAACGTGTCAGGTCATTTCTTCATCGTGTATATGTACAGGGTGTCTCAAAATAGCTTCGACTACCGGAAATGAGGGGTTCCAGGAATGATTTGAAATAACTTTTTCTTTAGCAAAAATGTTACCCGAGGCTTTGTTAACGAGATATTAAGGAATAACACTGACCAATCACAGCGCGAGTCTAAGTACCAATCGCAGCGCGTAGCCAACGCTACCGCGGGAACTCGGCCGGCAGACTAGCGCTCTGATTAGTCGGGGTTTTTGTTAATATCTCGTTAACAAAGCGTCGGATAACATTTTTGCTAAAGAGAAAGTTGTTTCAAATCACCCAAGAAACTCTTCATTTCCGGGAGTTGAAGCTATTTTGAAACACCCTGTACATCTGAACGGCACCGGTTCCACGGTTTGTGTCGAACAACATGGCCATGAAAACGGATTGGTCACAAATTTCAATCGACACACTGTGTATAGCCCGTGACCATTAAATTAGAACGGTTTACAATTTTCAGCATCTTACATACAGTTTGTTTCATAAAAGCGTTGGAACGATATTTGGAAAAATAATTGATATTTTTTACAAATTCAAAAACAGACTCATAGAACATCTAAAACACTACGACGCGTCATTAAGAAGCTGTCAGTTCGGCTTCGTCCGTCATTATAAACACTCAAATTTCAAAATAAGTGCAGCGTAGGGGAACCTGTTGTACCTCGGGTAATTTTTTTTTTATTTTTATCTTCAAAAATCTTAAATAATTGACGTACTTTATAGATTGTATATAGTTTACAGATTAATAAGACATATAACTTAATTTTTGTAGAATGATTCCAATATATTTTATTAGAATTATAGTTGATTAAAGAAAAACGGTAATTATGTCCATGATACAACACCCATCTGGGTAGTACACCTATAGGGGCTGTATATCTAATATTTCTATGTTTTCTAGTCTTCAATTCTGTGTTTTCAGTAATTCTAGTCTTCCCTACGAATGATGTTGAAAATTGTGAGTGGTCCTACTTGAATGACCGAGGCTGTGCATGTGCATACTCGGCTTTAGTTCCCTCAGTCGTGAGGATAAATCGATGAAACGATGCCCTCCTTTTTTTCTGTTCTCTTGCGACCCGACGTTCCGAGAGCGGGATCACGGACGATAGGGGGGAGGAAAAAAGAAATATATACGAGGAGAACAGATTCGGCTACGGTTAAATACGAGGTTCGCTTAAATGGAACCCGGAAACTTGTTACAGAAGTTTGCTCGTAAGAAATCTGTATAAGAAACTAGTTTTATTTTTGCACTCAGTTACCTTGTCGATTGAAAGCTTGGAACATTCTACGGTTTTTAGGCGGATGACACTTTTTTGCGCAGGGATATCCAGTTTCTTGAAAGTACTGTTAGGTTTCTTCATAAATTTTACCAAAGATGGAAAAACAGAGTCTGATAATCCCTAAGAAACTGAGCGTCTAAATATTAGGTGAGTGCAACAGTTGTGATGGTTTTGCTCTAAAAAAACAGACTAATATTAATTTTAATTATAATTTAATGAAATACTATAATATCGTGCAAAATGAATCTTCTTCTAATACTACAAGTATAGTAGCATAATTCCGGTTCAAAAACCATCCCCATAGAAGTTGATTACACGGTCACGTTGTTTGACCGATACGAGTGTTTTCGTTTTCAATGAAAACGCGACTCCAGCTTTGGAATCGTATCCGACTTGAAAATTTATGTTTTTTCTTTCTTATACCCTACGATACCGAGCACGGTCATAAATAAATATTGTGATTACATCCTGTGCACCCCGTGTGCTGTTCCTTTTAGTTACAATAGCGAACCGATAGTCTTTTTCTTACGGGCGGAGCGAGAAGAACCGGTTTGCGTGGACGCGTTGGCAACCTTGGGAGTAGAACAATCGAAATTACCTCGAGTCTGCTATGATATACGTTTTAAATGGATCAATTTTTTCGATCAGAGTCCTTCGATCTTTAACGAACCGAACGAAACTTTTTAGATTCTTTGCATATCGCAAATATATGGAAGTAGAGATAGCTAGTGTATATTTAGAATTTTTAGGATCGTGCAACAGGTTTATCGTGTTTGTAAAACGTACTGGAAAGCGACGTTATATGTGTATCAGCCAAGTAACTTTGATTGATTGAAGTAGTAATTAGTTCAAAAAAGGATAAAATATTGTACATACGTGACACATATTGTCTCACCGGGGTCGAAAGGGTTAAACCACGTATAGTTATAATTTCCCACTTTATTTCCCAAAAAAGGATATCGTCTCCGAACGTATTCCTTCGGTAAAAAAATGCAAAATTTTCGAAGGTAATTTAATATTAAACCTCAATCAAGATGTCCAAGAACTGTAACCAGATACCGTCTCGCGGAGGGAAGCAAAATGGTTCCCCCTGTGGTCCAAGTCGAGCGTCATCCAGCGGGATTGGCGTCAAGTTGATTTCTCAGTTGGAGCTCGGCCAGGCCGAATGGACGTTTAATTGAACGCTTTGTTCCCGTGGTTTTTGCCGATGGCCAAGTCACTCCCTGTGGTCGTGATCGCGGAAGGAATGCCCACCATCCAAGTCCCCGCCTCTCCCCGGAAGGAGACGGATAACGCGAGGATCGGAGAGAAGGGGAGGGGGCACACGCTTATCTCGCGAGATCTTTAATTAAAAGATCTCTCATTCCCGCCTTCGCATCGAAGACAACCAGAAACGTGTCCGGCTGGATCGAAAAGCCCCGGAGGCGTATACCGACGTCGCGACGGCCCTTAATCGACGCCGACCCCGGTTAATGGATAATTAGCGATGCAAATCTTCCGGCGATTAAGCATCTTTGGAGCCTAACCTACCGACGCGATTTTGCTATAAATTTCCTAATTTTTCGTATTTCTAACAAAACAATTTCAGGAGGCATTCTACTGTGACATGCGATTGTTTTAAGTTTCTTCAGGAATTGTTTTTGAAGACTTAATGAAAGATTTTTATGCTGAACGTTTCTGTTGTATATTTATTGTATCTTAAATTATAAATAAGAATTTCGTTTGGTTGAGGATATGAAATAAATACGGCACTGCAGCTCATGAAAGTGGACCACCTTGAACAAATTGATCGATTGATTGCGATTATTCTAGTTGTTTCGTTCACTTAAAATAAAAAAAAATAAAAAGATTCTTAAATTAGTCGGACATGGCTATCGTAGGCTTATTAACATTTGACCCTTGATCATGGTAAAGGTATCTTTAACTTTTCTTTTCTATATCAGTGCAACAATTAATAACACTTCATCAATATTTTTATTTTCTTACATCAAGCTCTCATTTTTACCAAGCTTTTGTTAATTCTCAAAAAATATGAAAATTTCATTCACTGAAAGATGTTACCTTCTACCGAAAAACCCGTTTCAATATACTACAGACTATTCTCACACAAGACGCCAACAATAAATTTCAATGCATGGACTCAACTATAAAATTAAATCACATAATTGTACCATTAATTCATTAGCAATATCTTCTAATTATCCGTTTTCCTTATTACCAAAAAAGGTACACGACCTAGACGATTTTACCTGTATGTTCGTTTTGCGATTAAATAAAGATTAGTCGTTGATTGGCCTGGTTTTAAACGGAATTATCTAAATCATGTTTCACCATGGAAATTTATAGTAACCGCGACGGGAGCCGTTTTACGAGTATAGCGAAAGAAATACGCTTCGTTCCTTTTTCATTCTCCGGGCTTGATGGCACTGGTTAATCAGAGTATGTAACGGCTGTGTACGCTGTTACGCGTTTTACGGTGGAAGCAGGGTCAGAGATGCCTCGGACGAGAGCCGAGATTCTGTTGGATATGTACGGGCACGCAGATGGAGGAATTACTCGTGCGTACGTGATGTAAGTTCTCTGTAATCATGAATTTCACCTGCTTCGAACCATAGAGAAGAAACATGGACCATTTTATTGGAAGAAAATCGTCGAATGTCGATCATTAGTCACTGGACTACAAATGTAGAGTCATTTTAGTCCAATGACAATGGCGATCTTTTAATATTTTTACATTATCTTCGTATTATCAGACGTTTAGCATTTGAAAACTCAATTTCATATTGTTTTATTCATATAGAATTATTCTACTGTTTCGGTAAATTAATTAGAACTTTTTCATTGGAACTTGTGAATTAATAAAATCTAGCTATAGGTAAACTTGTTTCGTTAACTCTGTATAATTTAAATTAATTATTATTGTTCAACAAAATTCTTCATCACAATCTCGAAACCAGCAAAATATATTATATTTGCTATAATATATTTCAATTTGAGCAAAATCCCAGACATCGTGTATCTACAAAAGTGATCTGCTTATTGTCGAATGACCCGTACTTAAATGTCTGATCTGCACATTACATTAAGTTCTAACAAAAAACATACAGAATCATATAATTTCTCGATTGAAAACAAAAAAACGCACTTGCTTATAAAAAAAAATTCCTTACCTCTTTATGGTTCGTATCTAACCATTTATCCAACTCCATAATACAAATCAATAACTGGTCTATCCAACTGGTACTTTTTATCCGAACTAATAGCAGCTAAAAATTCAAATAACAGGAAATCACATAATGGAATTTCCACTCGTAATATGCTGTTTTCCCACATTCGTGTTACTCTGTATCATTCGACATTTATAGAACTTGCCATGGACCATTAATTCGCGTTCGATGGTCTTCGACGCAACATGCAAATAACGATCGTACAAATCTCTCGTGTCCTGAAATTAGCTCCAGTACGGGTTTCATCAGTGCCGGGGCCAGGTGCTCTAAGCTAACCACGGGGACGATAATTTTCAGCGCGTTCACGATAGTTCCACGTGTAATTATTGGTGAAAGACAACCGAGCCAAGGGAAGTATGCTTCACGATCCTGTCCCTCGACCGACTGCCTCTGATTACATTGATCGTTCGCGGTCGTCGATTTCCAAGACTTCTTGCGCTGCCGATTCCCCATGAACCGTCGCTTTTCCGGTGTCCCTGCGACGATGGACCGTTGATTGAATCTTTATCCACCTGTGCATGGCTTCAATTAACGTATCTGATGATTTCCCGTGTTCCTAATTGATGGCACGTCAGCCGCGAAAGGTCAGTTTGTTGTTTCTTTTAAGGATTCGAGGTAATTGATTGATTATAAGGGAAAGAAACTTTTTTTTCGGAATTCGAAGGGGGAATCATAGCCTTGTCGAATCCGACGATCGTCTTTTCGATTCAATCGATCAGTTTGGCTTTCCGCTAACACACGCATACTGTCATCGAAGTTTTGTTAGTCTTCATGAAACCCGGGTCAAAAGTTAAAAAGAGAATAAAATAGACGGAATCGAGGAGGGCATTTTCTGCGCGTCAGGTAACGTAAGATGCGCCGTAATTAATGCCCTCGGACGCGTAATTGGAAAAAAGGGATGTTTTACGAGGTTGCTTTCGATGAGGCTGACTTGCTTCCGGCGTCGCCGGCCTAGGATCGTGACGGCTCTCGGACATTCCCGTCGCTTTTCCGATTGGGATCAAGTGATACGATAATCGGATCGTGAGATCGGCCGGACGTTTATGTACACAGGCTACGTTATCGTTCGAGTACACTCTGGTCCAGTTTTGCTCGACTGTCAGTCCAACCTTCGGATGAATGCTTCAAGTTGTCTAACTGAGTTTGAGCTTCTCACATTTTGTGAGTATACAGAGTAGATGTTTATGCGTTTATAGGAAATTGTAACATACAAAATTCAGTAAAATAAAGATTTTAATAAAATTTAGTAATATTTGTATTAATACTATTATCAGGAGAATAAGACATCTAGTACAGGAATAATTTCTATATCATTTTTAAGTTTATAAATTGGTGTTAAAAATTGTGAATTTGTCGCTTCACGCAGAGATAAAACGGCGAACCATGTGTCGAAAAACCCAACAGGACAGTTATGATTTATGATGGTCTGGTAACAAGTAAGTTTATTGGCTCGATTGTAGATTAGAACTGTTCGCCGAGCGGAGATTAGCTATAAACGTTCTCCGAAGCCGTTAATGTCCGTCAACAATTCATTACTCTGAAGCTCGAGGCTGGTTAGAGCTGTTGACAATAGTTGTATTCAAAGACATTTTCATTCCCCCCTGTCAGTACAAGATAGTTAAACTTCGGTAGCGGTCTTGCTTGAGATAGAAAATTGTGTGCATCAAAAAATTCGAATACTGTAAGAAGAACATTTGATCTTTGTCCTAACACGTTTATTGTTCGAATTTTAAATATCAGGACAATGTTCTAGTAGAATTCATCTATACGTTCTTACGATTGCAAATATATACATATATACTTAGTAATTTATACTCAATTAGAAAGTACCAATTATATTTACAAGATTGTAAATGTTACTGTTCAGAAATTAAAGGACTTCTGATGTAATTTACACATGATATGGATCATTGGTGTAATTACATTATGAAATTTCGTTCGTTACACAGCCATTTGCATTCAATCGGCTTACTAATTCTTATCATAATAGAGACAAACGATTATTACTATTACAACACAAATGAAGTGAATATTTATAGTTAAAAGTACAATATATGTCACACGCAATTAAAAATAACGTAGAAAATTTCTTAATAAAGATTTATTTCCATTGAATACGTATTATACATATATATATATACGTCCAATTAAATTAATATCATTTTTGTTTTTGTTATAACCAACCAGAGTTATATGAACGTCAAGAGATCGATTTCTTAAATAACTCATACCGAGGATCGATAATTAATGAATATTGACCACACATTTTCTCCATTCGTACATATTTGGCATACATTTAATAATTTAATTACTTAGGACGTGTACATGGCGATTCGAGTGACATCGGTATTCGTGCATTTTAATTTGCTTTTGTTTTCAAGACATGGCCTTCCGAGCTGAGCGAAATTCCATTGACTAGTATAGATACGCGCGGTTCGCTTAAAGAGAAACCGTGGGTCATTAATCAACGTCGACCGGTGAAAATTTTACTTTACGTTGATGCACCTGCATGCACCCGTACCACGCGTCTCTACATGACATATCATTTTAATTTACGACGGTCGATCCCCGAGAAATTAATAGATCAGAATTTGAAAAATCAAATCCCACGTGAAATAATCCGTTTCTTCCTAAATTCGAAATTAAATGGTTATAGCGGTTTTGTTGCCGAGGCTTCGGACAAAAAACGAATTTACGAGAGTCCGAAGCATATTTCCCTATAAGATTATTGTCCCGGCGCGGTCCCGAGTTCGGGACGATAATCGAGTGGAGTCTGTACTTGTGAAAGTTCGAATCTTTCTAACATTGAACTACCTACAAGTATATTTTCGAATCTACAGGTAATCATTTTAGAGTTCGAAACCAACTTGTATAAAATCATTACATTTCAAGTATACTCGTTGAAACTTTGTTGCTTTTGAGTCGTAATCGAAACCCATGAAATGAAACTCTGTTATTGAAATTGACTCGGATTCGTAAACACATAATGAACTTGATTCCATCTCTATTCATGATTGATACATATGTTGTTTACGCGATTATACACGCTTGGAGTCGCGTCTATTTCAATTCAACGGATTTGAAGTAATCCATAACGTGTACATAGTTACATTCTGACTAGTCTTCAGCAAGCAAAAACGGGTTCTCGATCTTCTGTATCCATTCCTACCGAGGAGCTCGTACTTTGCTAGCGTATTCTTAAAAGAAAACTTTAATCTATACTTAATCTGATACGGACGTCCATGTTTCTGGTGATCGTTGCATACAAGAAACCCGGTACACCCTTATGCGTGTCGTTCACGCGAGCTTTACGGAAACAATTTATGCTGGTAATGGACCGAGCAATCCATAATCGTTCGATCGGTTCTTATCGCCTGACCAGAATATTAAACTAATCGACCTTGTACTCGTCCTCAATGCCACTGACCGCTACCTGATTGGATAATGACCCGAGATTTTTTCATCCAGACCGAATATTACGTAATCTCCTGTTCTGGATGGCGATCGGTCTAGAGAAAGGCAAACAACACGGAAAGGTGGATTCAGGGATCGGTTACATATTAATCGAAGAACTTTTCATCGTTTTTCTCTGTTCTTGTTTCGTCTGGTTTAGTCGTGGATAACTTAATAGAGGCAGTTCGATAGACTCGTACACGCCCTTATTAATGAACAACTAACGCCGTTAGTTGTACCTGTCTAGAGTATCGTGAATGCGTGCACTTACTATAATAGGTTGAGTCAGAAATATTTACATCGTAGGACCTTAGAAACATTTGAAATTCATATCAATCCACAATAGATACTTTGAAACAATAATATGTTATTCTTAATTCTAACAATTTTATGATAATTTCTCATGTGTTAAGTATTTACTTGGTATTGGTATAGCTTGTTAAAAATGTTCGTTTTTTGATTACAAAATCCGAACCTGCATAAACTGATTAGTTTCTACTAATACTTCTACTATGTTTAATAAAGTCGAATGTGGTATTTATTTGATTTGAAATCTTATGGAACCGTTAATAGAATGAACAATGTTTATTTCAGTTCTGCTTTCTGTAAGTTAGTCTACAAAAAAATTATATTTGCATAAACATCCACAGTTTACTGATTAGTTCCTCCAAATGTTTGTATGAATTGTAAATGGTAGAGTGAAAATTGGGGGTGTGTGTCGTGGGTCACTTAATATTCTCACGAGTAGAAGAGTGACTCAGAACCGGAGGGATCATCCACACGGACGAGTAAGTATTTTTTTTTCGACTTAGGAACCCATTGTATCATTGTTCCTTCCACAGACGATACGCGTCGTTTTCTTTGTCGTCACGCCCTTCCCTCTCTTGTAATGAAGTTCTGACTATGTGGTTTATGGATGTGATTTTGTGTGTAATATTAATTTGGTGGGTGGTGTGCATTCCGTTGAATCGTGTCGATGGTATCCCCCTTCGAAGAATAATCTTCAGACGGGCATTGTGAGAATACCTGGTCTATGATTACTTCTATCGGATGTACCAATCATTAATACACTTTCTTTAACACGTTTACTGTTGTAGTTCTCTTTATGGGGTCCATTTAACTCCATTCTAGGCTTTTATATTTAATTGAAGCAAACGTGGAGAAAATATGTTTATCTAACGCTAAATTGTAATATACATATGTACATCAGCTACTGAAGTCAAATTAATTCATAGATTTTTGTAAAGAATAGCAGTACAGTTAAGCAGTAACAGTAGAACTTATGTATATCTATCTGTCGTAGTTTCACAAGTGCTCATTAATTTAAATTAACAAAGTTTCGATTCTATTTTTAGTTTAATGAATCCATTAATTAGCGAAATAAATTCTCCTTTGTGCCTGGCTTGGTCTTCGTGATTTTATTTTCGAAGCCAATTATTAAGTTAATTATTAGAAAGTGGTTGGTTTTTGTACAGTACATAACCTTCTTTCTTCACAATAATCTCTGAGAAAGTGTAAGTGTTTTCTATATTTGATATCATCGACACCAATCGGTGTCTCGTATAACTTTATTCTGAGTCATGCACGTATCACACGTGTTCGGGGTGTTCAACCGGTTGACATCCGGCGGAAACTGGAAGTTCTCAGTTTAACTTACACTAGGATAGCGGATTATCAATCTGGAGTCCATCCATTTTCTACGTTGAAAATTATAACGTAAGACTCTATTCAAATAGAATTACCAATAGAGTTTGTTTTACGAAATTGGACATTGATAAATGTACTGTCATACGCTTAAGCAAATCCGCTAAATCATTACTAAATATATTTTTTTGAATTGTTTCAAGTATTTGGACTTTTATGAAGAATATTAAATTAATGCAACCTTAAGGGAATTATTCATAATTCAATGACTCCCCTTAAAAATTATGGATAACATTAGAAACATTTCATTTTACTTAAAAAAGTTTAAGGTTACTGCATTTCTAAATAAAACAAACGTCATGACGTCTATTTTACAGTGATTTGTTGTTCAATCGAAATAAATAAAATTCTATACAAAACACACTTTTATCATTCTAATATAAAGAGTTATAAAGATCATATAGAATGTTATAACGAGCATCGAGTGTATGTGAAAACGATTCACAACACGCTCCACGATTAATAAAAATTGCATTTTAATGCCAAATTAAGAGAACGACAGAAACTGTATCACGTGCGAAAGAAGCTGTCTCGAAATTCAAATGAATTTGAAAAACGGGGATCCGTTGATAGATGGTAACTTTAATGAATTCCAAGGGGTTCGTTAATTCGACGATATTTGACAAGAAACCACCGGGGTATCGGTATATCTGACATAATAATCTGACGATGTTGCATTGGGTTTTAAACGAATATCTGCTAATGATCGTCCGTTTCCTGTTCTTTTGCAGATGCGTGGCTGGAATGGCAGAAAAGTTGCGCGATGCGGCCGCACGTGGCGACGTCGCGCGGGTCGCCCGTCTTCTTGACGAAGATATTAAACCGTTGCCGGATGAGGTGAGTCCCTTTCCGCTCTATTGTTTCCTCTTGGCCAGACCATGAATTCTTTTAATGCTCTTACAGCTGCTTGTAAACGTGTCCCCTTACTATATATTACATCATGAATGTGCGAATTACGTATTTACACGCGATGCTTACGTGGAACAAAGTGCGAATTATCTTCTACGAGTCACATTCTAGTGAACATCTCCCTACGGAATTGAAAGCTTCACAACAGAAAAAAACTGTATGATAAATTCGAATTTTTATTTCTTTTTTCTGGTTTTTTTCTTCTTTGACCTTTTTATACATAGTAGAACCTCGATTCTCAGAACAATGGTTAACGGAATGAAAGATTGTCAGGGCTCTGATTGATGGAGAATTCGGTTAACAACAATATGAATTGAATTATACAGGATGAGGCACCTAAAACAGGCCACCTGAATATCTGGGCTGTTACTAATATAACATTCCTCTTTTTTTCGAAAAATGAACTTATTTCTCATAGAAAATTAACAGACGGTAAGTCAACTCAATTTTTATAAGAAATTATAATTCCGTTGTTCAAATAACAAAAGAACTGGACCGAATCTGTAATGAAATTGGAAGAATACTCGCAGTGGAGAACAGGGGTCATCGCTTGCTCGTATTTTAATTATCGTCGATGAAGTCGTAGATTGATCGAACAAGGGTCTCGCCAAACGGATATGAACCGCGGGAATGCGGTATATTAATTACGTTACGTATTTGCATCTTCGTTGTGACGGTCGCCGTCGGTGGGAATGCAGATAAGCGTGTTCTTGGGGCATTTGTCAAAATCTTCGGGACCGCGATGCGTTGCTCAGGCAATCTGCCCGATTATCCATGCGGTCATTACAATTACTTCCTCCCTTAATTGCGCCGATGAAATTAATCGCTACGTGGCTTTTTCTTCACCGCCGGCAATCTTCGAGCTAAAGTGCTTTATTACATCGAGCCGGTGGATGCCTCGACGATGCATCGACAGGGAATGCTGGGAATAATTGAAATAATGGCGGTCGGTGTCGATATCATGGGAAACTTAACCAGTATTTTTTATCCTAATGGAATCGTGTTTATGGAACTCTTCGGGCGTTCCTTATTATTTTATTGTGCATCATTCTATTTAACACTGGAACTAAAAACAAATATAATTATTTCATGCAGAAATCTGAGAACAGCAGTAATATGGAAATGTTCTGGGTACCGTCACATATAGGCATACAGGGTAAGGAAAATGTCGACTTCTTAGCAAAAGCAGCAACTGCAACGCAAACAGATAACTCTGTGTCTATTCCCTTTACCGACTTTCGGGATTATTCAAACATAACTGCGATTCAGACATCACAAAATTCATTAAAAGGCAAAAAATTTGGAACGAAAAATATTTCTTTCTAGTATTTCGTTTGACTTTTCTATTATATTTTTATTAAAAAAAAATTTTTTTTATTGTTAGAATACAATTAAGTGTTTCGTTCCGGAGCAATTAATTCCATGGAATTGTAAGGGATTATTATTGGTTGGAACAGAATTTATGTAATCTATACGTCTTTTTCGGTTAATTTATTATTTGATGTATGTATTATGCTTCCTGTAACTAGCGTACACGTATACAAGGTATACTTCTTCATTAACATGCTGAGTTGGCTCGCTCTATTACTTCGGGCAAGGAGGCACAGCCTCGTAGAAAATCCGTACATACGTTCTAGAGCGTCGGAATGATATATACTGTGATTTGTTAAATTTGCAGATTCGTTTTAGCCAACTGTCACTACTGGAATTGTTATTCTACGAGGATGTCAGTATTCAATATTCAACAGTAATTTATTATTTACACACAGGCAATATTCATATCACAGAACGGGAAAAAAATTCTTTAATAATATTATTTTCGAGAAAATCAGAAGCCAATGCTGTTTCAGTCATATTTGTTCTCTCCCTTAAAATACGAGAAGGGTGTACAGTTGTTTTAAATATAAATTGTGTTTCTTGTTAAATTAATATAACTTTAGTTGTAAGTCTCTATTTCGACGAGCTCACGAGAGGCTACCAGTTTTAAAAAAAATTGAAAAATTGACAAGTTCGAGGTCAATATAAATTATTCCGTTTTATGTATCACCATAAAGACTTACTTCGTATCTCCAACGTGTCAAAGCATCGAACATCGAGTATATTTCATTGGAAATATAAATATGTAATATTTAGATGCTCGATCGTTTATATTCTTCGCACTAGTCGTCGAATTTCAAGTTAAAAGGCGACGTCTCGCGTGTCTCGGTTGATTAACCGCTCTCGACTCTTTCCTGTGGCACTTATTAGTATTCCGCATATAAATGCAGGTCGGGCGGGATCGGTCTCGAAAACAGAAGGACACGCGGCGGCCGCGGATTAGGATTCAAGGATGGTCGTTTAGTCGCATCGCACGCGGACAGGCGTCAATTTGTGTTGTTTGAACCTCTGTTCGGCTAATTAAGGTCGCGGGGAGCTAATTCGACGCGGGAAGTGCGTGTGCGCTACAAACTGACATCTGACCACCTATTAATTACATCGCTAATTGACTCGCCCCGTGGATCGTGAAGAATCGATCCGCCGGACTGTTTGGGAAACCCGATTTCCGTGATCGAAATTCACCTTCTTTCCGTTTAATCGATTTTGACTTCATTGAATCTTGTAAGGTCAATGTCCCTATTTCTAAGCACGTCCCGATTTCTGCTCAGTACAGATATTTTTTATTTAATGTAAACAGTTAAATCATAAATTAGTTATACAAAAAATGATTTAAATTAGTTCAGTATTTATTTATAAAATGCTATAGCCTGCTGTTCAATAGATGGCAGATTCAGTATTCCATCGTTTCAAATATTAATACAAATTTCTGTATTATGCATGTGAAAATAGCTAATAGATACGAAAAAGTATAGACTCACAACACCTCTGATTTTGGAGTGAAGTTTCTATAATAGGAGAATACATTTTCATTTTTTGGGGGAAGTCAAATACCTAATACTTAAATTCTACTAAAAATTAACAAGTACCTACGAAAGTAATCTACCTCTTAAATACATTATTACTGAAATAATATTAGTTAAGATAACAGAACAGACCACGTATAAAATAACATGAAAATTTCATGAGTAATTATTTAAATGAAAGTTTATTTGGTTATCGATCAAGTAATGTATTAATTTTAAGTATTATTTTCACAGAATGGCAGGAGTCCCCTTTTACTGGCAGCGGCAGCCGGTCACGTGGACGTCTGTGAAACGTTGTTTCTTCGAGAAGTCGACGTCAACGCAGCCGACAACGTGAGTAATCTTCACGAACTTCGTTTTTACTTTTTATTTTATTATTTCTTGGTTGAAATGACAGCGTCACAAATTACATTTCACAGAAACATCTTCCATACGAATATCATTAGAGAAAGTAAAGGTATATAAGCACCTCTTGAATTATTTGAAACTTTTTATACGGTATTTGACATTGCTTTTCACAGAAATATAAGAACTATCTTAAACCAATATTGAAAAATATATTTTTACTTTTATATTGGAATATTCAAGTTTTAAGCTATTTATTCGCTATTTATTCATTTCGTAACTTTATAAACTAACTATAACTTATGCAAATTTTCTGTTATGAGATTTGTACTAATTAAATTTTTCGAAATGTGAAGGAAAATTTATATTTGCAAATCTTGAAACGATTTCTTATGTGAAACGGACCCGCAAAATACGATTGTTGAAACGTGGCTAACGGTTCCAGAAGCGTGGACACTAAATTCCGAAGTGGCGAACGACTCACGGGATTGGCTAATAATTCACAAGCCTGGGTGGGTTGTTCTGCATGTCAGTTGCGCAATATATCAATACGAATACGTCGGCTAATGGACGGTGCAGGGATAATTACTGTATAATTATGGGTTTACGTAGTTGACGAAGGAAGGGTGTTTCGCTCTTTGCTGTTTTATTCAAGGCCTGCATCTGAAATACGCGAATGAAAAAGAATCGCACGATGTATCGATTTGTGGAACGTTGGTGCACCCGTCAGATTGTTAATCATATCGATCATTCAGGATCGAAATACCGAAAGATTCACGAACAACTCCATAATTACTTTCTTTCGATTTGTAAACATTAGAATTCTGATGAAATAATTTTTATGAGTAACTCAGCCTCTTGTGCAGAGGATAAGCTGAACCTTATAATCTATAACAACAATTTATATAAATATTTCACGTACCAACGGGCAACTATTTCAAATTCCATCAGTCTGGAATCTACCTCTTCCCTAAATAGCAACAGAAAAATATAGTTCCACGTGTATCTGATCCCGTAACGAGCGAAGACAATGATTCATTGGGAACATCGAAAAGGCGATCGGGATCATCTTCGTTATCGCCCAGGGAGATCCGGCTAGGTCCCTAGTCTTAGGCACAATGCATCCATTGCGGTAGTGACTGACGTCCAATCTTCCCCACCTCCCCTCGGGCTGGAGAACACGTTTGGCTAGATCCTGTCAGCAAGGGGTATACCCAAGGTGCCTGTATTTAGACTCGATCTACACGCCGCTGGTGGCCGGCTGAATATTCGTACTAAATTCCCGTGAATATCTTCTTGCTACGCCGCATACTGTGACAGAAATTGTATCCCTCCTCAACGTCGTTTCTTTTTCCTTTCACTTATTACCGTCTCGGTTGAAAGAAAGAGAACTCAGATTGATGCAACGGGCGTTTTCTCGGACTATTGCGTTGGATGCGTCTCGCGTTTCAAACTTCACTGGTTGCCGTTCAGGGGAATAAATTTGTAGTAAAGATGGAAGTTTTGTGACGAGACGTTAATTAAACTGAATATTCTGTTTCCGTGGGAATGATAATTTGATTGAACTGCATACGATGGCCGGTGTAGGGGTTAATTTTATTTGGATAGGGTGAGAGAGGGAAGAATATCTAAACGTGGGAAATGGTGGAATATCCTGCGTTGGTTTTATCTCTTACAATCAGTCATATGCAATAGACTGTCTTTCTAAATAGAGAATAATATTTACTTGTCGACTTTTGGAGAATCGTTTGGAATATCCCCTGATAAACAGTTGTGTACAAGTTTCGAGCAAATTGTCAACAATAAATGACAAAAGTTGTCTAAAAAAAACATAACCATCTGTTTCCGCATGTGACTTGGGTTTTGCAGGCAACGCCAGCTGACAAAATGGTAAAGCAAATTGGCAGAACGTCTTGCAACATGACCTATGTCAAATTGAGGTCAAAACCGGAACAAAAATCGTAATTTTTTGGTTCACAGAAGTTTCCTAGTTAGACCAACAAGGTCAATTGCTTTCATGATACGGTGAAAGAACGGATCTTTCACCTGGCACAACACAATTCCCCCAGTCTTCGGTTCTTTTCTCGATGGAGAATAGTATCAACGGATATAGTGGCGGGAACACGCGTGCCTTTTGTCTGCATAAGGCAATCCGGTGGAAGGTGGAACGGTTGCACCGCCGTGTTGCCTCGGTATCTGCAAATGAAAGTTCGATATTTATCGGTGACTGATGCAGAAAATGTGCAGCGGCCCCCTGTCTATGCCCATTCCGAACCATTTCCACGTGCACTGCCCAGAATCACGGAAACCCATGGAACATTATACTGTGCTTCCACGGATGTTTAGGACGAGTTTCTTTTGACTCACGCGGAATGATGAAGTTGCGAGCTTCTCTTCGACAGATTGGGCGTTCGACGCCATTTGTGATATCTTTAGAAGATCTTGCAGTTTTTTACGCTCAATGGAAGTAGTCAGTGCCTTCTCAGGGACGGTGAAACAAGATGATACGTGGACTGTGGATCTTTAACACTAGAACTACGAAACACGTCAAAGCAACGGATTTCAAATTTCTGGTTTTACAATCTTCTTGTTATACATTTTACATTATAATATATTCTACATTATATAATATTCGCAGTCTGGTGACATGTATTAAATCTGACTGTTGAGAAATTAAATAATTGGTCATTGAATGCTTACTTCATCACCAGGGATATATTTGGTCAAAAGCATTAATATTTCTTACCTCTCGTTTTATTTTCTTGTTTAATGAATGAAATTGGTTATTGATCGTTTACTTTAATAACAGGGACGCATTTGGTTTCAGTCACATCTTTCATTTTTTTGTTTTTTATTCTTTAGTTTTGTATCCATCACTTAGGTACTGTAGTATACACCGTTGTACTAGTTTGGTAATTTTTCACTGATGTAAATGTATACTGTGGATTTTAAGTGTTCTTAAGGTATTCCACTTTTAATGTCAACATCGAAGTTCTAACTCAAGAACAAGCAAATGTCAGAGGGGTATTTACAAACATTTACGAAAATTTTGTAGCGAATTTTGAATCGCATAGAATATCCCTCGAAGGTTTAGGGTTATTCTGTGTACTAGAATGTACGATCATTTAGTGCTTTTTCCTTAGAATTTCGACTCAACTCAATTAAATAAGAATCATTGTTCGATTCATTCCAGCATGTTCAAAAAGTTTTATCGATGTCACTCGAGATCATCGAAATATTTCTTTAAATGTTTAAGCGTAAACATTTTGAAGGAGATATAACGACTTCGAAGTTTTTGTAGATCCAACATGAATATCAGACCAAAGTGTACCGCCAGCTATTCGGTGCAAATAAAAGCAGAACTTGAACGCTGGTAAATCGTCGTAAATTTCATGGTTGTAAATGCCATTCTGGCATTTCCTCGTATATTTCCTTTGCAGTTCGAGTTTGCATGCGTTGCCGGTCGGTTACTCGCTGAACTCTTGCCAGGATATTTGGTCGAAAATATCGTTCAGTATTTTGTAATATCTTTGTTCTCTAAGAAAATATGGTGTTCAGTTTTTGTTAATAACAACTGAAAGTAAACGTTGTTTCGGCCATATTTGTCATATTCATTAAAACATTCATCGAAAATTCTTTAATTCATAGCGTCCTTCATTTTATAATGTTTTCTTGAGTTTGTAGTGTTTAATTATTTATGCTGCAGTGTTCACTACATATTATCTCATAGAAGAATTATTTAAAAATGATTTATTAACGTTCTTCAATAAATGCAACAATTTGCTTATCTCTTATCCGAAACAATGTCCTAAATAAAAGAAAAAAAGCTTGGACCCAGAAGCTAGACTATTCGTGCTAATTGCGATACGATCGGGCGAGATAAAGCGTATCGTTAGAACGAAGAAATCTCCGAATTTATAACGGCCACTAATAGTATAATATGTATAATGGGAGGGGAGGAATGTCGAGGGGCCCCGAAAAAAGGTGTAGGCTCGTGACGTTATTTAGGAACGGGGGCCCCCGGTCCCGTGTCACTAATAAGTTCCATAAGCTCCTCCGCGTTCGTTTAGCCTCGTAAGTCTTCGAGGCACCGCAGTATCCGAACTGGATCTAAAATCCGACGGGGGACGGAATAAATCGGATAAATTTCGACGTGGAAGTAGCCCTGACGGCCGCTTTGGATAAACTACGGACCGTGTTCATGTTTCAAGATTTCCTTGCACAATATATGGATCCCGGAGTGGAGCTTATCCAGATGCAAGCGAATCGCTATATATTCTTCTTTCTTTCTCTCCTCTGAAAATTTAAATAATTAAATAGGAATAAAAATAAGAGACAGGAGTATAAGTTAACGTGCGTGTGAAAAATATTGACCACGCAAATTCTTTTCTCTGAACTCGACGCTTTATTTACTGTCACTTTTACAGCTGAAGTTTTTGTAGTCACTAAGATTAATGTACTTGTTGGTATTAGAATCGTATTTGTAGTGATCATTATATATCGAAGACTGGGTTATTGGGTAGATAAGATTTACAATTTTTCTTTATTTTTTAATACACGAAGACCAATTAACTTATATTTTACCGTTAACTGTACATTTTCATTAAGCATTAATCTTGCATTAATACAACATTTCATTTGGAATTTTTTTTAATCAACTTACACTACTGAACTCTATTTCTTCACATTTTGGTTATGAAAGGGAAGTTTTTGAAATCCTGGATGAAAATGGACTCACACACTATCATCCAAGGGTTAAGATGCATCAAAACCTTTCTATTCGCCTTTAGTTTGCACACATGCGTCTTTATGAACGGGAAACTACCCCGATTGACAGGTTAGCTCGAATTCTTTGGGGTACTACTTCTGCTCCCTGAAGTATTTCTGTCCCCGCGTTCCCGAAAATGTTCTGCCGTGAGGAATTTGGCACACGTTCCTCTTCGTGCATTATACCCGGCCCCGTGTCAAAAGGTCTATAATTACGGGGG